ACTTCAAAATCGCCCAATTAATGTATAAAGCACATAACAATCTCCTTTGCCAAAATATCCAGAAGCTTTTTGAAATTAGAGAGAGCAGTTATAATCTAAGGGGTACTAATCAACACAAAAAATCCAGAACAAGAACAAACATTAAGCAAAGGTGTGCATCAGTAATAGGTGTCAACCTGTGGAATAAGCTTGAAACGGACCTGAAAATGAGTAAATAACTGGAGGAGTTCAAAAATAAATTCAAAAGATTAGTACAAAAAAAAACTACATGAATCGGAATTAAGAAGGTAGATTTGATATACTTATAAAATATAGTATTCCAACTGTTTGTTCTTGTTTTGGATTTTTGATCAACTTATCAATTGTACTCAAGAAATGCAGTAATTATCATGAATATGAGAAAATTGAAACAAAAAGGAGAAACAATAATTATATATATACAAACCGAAAGGTGTATAAATAGAAAAGTATAGTATACATAATGGTAAAAGTATTTGATGATATGTAGACTTTTTCTTCTTCTTTGTTTTGAAAAATGATGAATTCATATTACTACACAATAAGGGGTAGGACAAGATAAGTTGTTTACTTCTTCCTACTCCTTTGAGCATACAACTGTGATGATGTGTGTTTTTCTTTTACTTACTTTTTTAATTTTCCTTTCATAAATTTTGCTTGCCTTTTGTCAATCTGTTATTGTGTGTACTATATATGCTCAATAAACAAACAAACGTGAAACCGATGAAGCTGGCAGGTGGTCAGCAACCTCCTAAGGAGCGACGGTGGATAACAGAAACTACTGCCTCACCGGTTAAGAATCTCACCGCACGTCACCGGTTGCTGCCAAACGATGTGGATATTTCACTTTCTGGCTGTGCTTTTATGAATTCTTGAAAATGCATCTGTTGTCGGCGTGCTTCGGCTCCCACTTCTCCTTCTTCTTCGCCATGGGGTTGTTCCTTGGGAATTTGGGGCGACAGCTCTTTCGCACGAATCATTTCGCTTGTTCACCTTTTGCATTTTTGCACACCGCTCTCCAAACTATTTTTTCACCCTGATGTTGCTTTCTCTTCATTGCCAGTCACTGTATTGATCGCTGGTAGAATACGAACAAAGTCGATAGTAAACTAAACAAAACCAAGAGGAGCATCTGGGGCTCTTTTTTTTCATGACAAAGTTGTGGATACGAAGTATTGATTGGAGTGTCAAAGTAAGGCTTTATTGATTTACTAACACACACATATTGGATTCATTTCGCACATTCTCTTGTCATTTAAACGTTCTTTTCATTTCATTTTCAATACAAATGACCAAACCTCCTCTGAAAACTTATTAAAACAAAACTACATTTAATAAAACAACTCCAAGCCAAATAAAAAGTAACGATAATGAAGAATCCAAATGTATTATAACCCCGATGAGAATGCTTAATTTTCTACAACAAGCTTTTCAATGCAGTCAAGGAAAAGAAAAGTTCAGCAGCCCAAGATCAAGTTACATCAAATACAATCAGCCTGATGAAGCCTGCTCAGATGGGATGTGAAAATTTCATTGATTATTGTTCATCTTATCAACACACTTATGATTCTGAATCTGATACTTCCAGGATAACCTTTGGCCACAAAATGAGCAAGCAAAGGGTTTCTCACCGGTGTGAGTTCTTGTGTGCCTTTTTAAGCTTCCCTTGTGAGAGAAGCTTTGGCCACAGTCTGAACAGGTAAACGGTTTCTCTCCAGTGTGGGTTCTGACGTGCTTTGTTAATGTTCCCTTCTCAGAGAATCTTTGGCCACAGTCTGAACAGACAAAAGGTTTCTCGCCAGTGTGGGTTCGAACATGTTTTTTTAAATTGACCTTCTGAGAGAATCTTTGACCACAATCTGAACAGGGAAACGGTTTCTCACCAGTGTGGATTCTGGTGTGCTTTGTTAAGTCTCCCTTCTGAAAGAATCTTTTGTCACAAACTGAGCAGTAAAAAGGTTTTTCACCAGTGTGAGTTCTTTCGTGCTTTGTTAAGTCTCTCTTCTGATTGAATCTTTTGTCAAAAACTGAGCAGGCAAAGGGTTTCTCACCAGTGTGGGTTCTTGTGTGCTTTATAAATACTCTCTTCTGGGAGAATCTTTGACCACAAACTGAGCAAGAAAAAGGTTTCTCAGCAGTGTGTACACTTGTATGACGTTTTAAGTGTTGCTTCTGAGAAAATTTTTGGCTACAAAGTGAGCATGAAAAAGGTTTCTCAGCAGTGTGTGTTCTTGTGTGATTTACTAAGGTTCCCTTATGAGAGAATTTTCGGCCACAGTCTGAGCAGGAAAAACGCTTCTCATCAGTGCGTATTCTTATGTGACTTTTTAAGTTTCTCTGATGAGACAATTTCCGGCCACAGTCTGAACGGGTGAACGGTTTCTTACGGGTGTGAGTTCTCGTGTGTAATTTCAAGGCATTCTTATCAGCAAACCTTTTCTCACACCGAGGACATTTCCACGGTTTGTTGTCAGTGTGACATATGAGATCACCATCAGACTCTTTATCTTCATCAGCAGCATTTGACGAGATGTCACTATCTGACAGTGGAGCGATGAGGCCGTCTGCTTGTGATGCTCCATGGTGGTCACCATCACCTTCTGTTGTCATGCGCTGACACGAGCTGCTGCTTGGAAGCTCCGCCCCATTTTGATCTTCATCTAAACTCTTTGAAGGGACACAAGTCAATAGCAACTTGCTGACATCCTCCTCCTCCTCCTCTTTGATATCAGGCGGATTACCCACTTCCACTTTGGTGTAAGGGTGCTTAAGCTCCTCCTCTTTTTTCATGTAAGGGGCCTGTTGCTCCTCGTCCTCTTTAAAGTAGAAGACCTGCTTTTTCTGCTCTTCCTCTTTAAAGTGGGAGGGCTCTGCATCCAGACGCTCAGGACAAACATCTTTGCTGATGTCTGAAAGACACGAGAAGACCAACACACAATGATGTATTATTACACAGAGTACAGTGTTAACAAGGTTGCCAAATTTGATTGCAGGATTTTTCCTGCGTTTAAAATGGCGTGGCGGCCGCCTCCAACTCATTTTCTGCCACCCCCAGCCAAACTGATTGATCGCGCTCAACACAATGCAAAGCTCCAGCTGTGCTGATTGAGCGCTTGATGTCCCTCTGCAGCAGCGGCGTATTTTAACTGCAGTTGCAGGGTTGCACTACTATGGAGGCGCGATATCAACAGCAGTGCACCGGAATGACCTGAAGCAACTACAGAAGAAACAGATGGAATCGTGTTTGAACGCCCCGCTAGTCGGTATGGTTGGCATCCTGATTTTCTCTGGTGGGTGGCACAAAGAGGTAAAAAAATGCCTGTTTTTTGCATCCAAGCATGTTGTGTTTATTGAAATAAAAGTTTACAATTTGGAACATCACAACGGAAAGACCATGTGTATGTGATTGAAACTTTTTTTTTCTCTTTTTATTTTGTCTCAAAAACACATGAGCCAATGGCTTTGACAAGAAGAGGCTCAAGGATAGGTCAGGCATACTGAGGAAGGCATTCACAGTTATTTATGCCAAAAAGCACTGTGCCCCAAAACAACAGGCAATTGCTGCCACCCAAGTGAGACAACTATTAACCACCTCCACGTTAATGCATCCAAAAATCTCCGAGTGGATAAAATAAGGCTCCAAAGTCATTAAAAATAGTGCCTTCCTTCCAGCTAGAGGATGGTGAGTGTATCCAGTGAGGCTGACATTTAATGGTCAACGAAATGTGTTTGTTAGTTCACTATTGGCTGAAAAACACGTGCCGGGCATCTGCTGTGTTGAAGAAAAAGTTGATTTTTCCATGAAGTGTCGTGAGGATCTACAAAGGGTGCAGAAATCGTTTAAGTAATCCAGTCAAACCTCGGTTTTCGAACGTCTCTTTTCTCGACAAAATCGGTTTTCGACCAAAAATTTTGAGTTTTTTTATGCCTCGGATTACGACCGAAAATCGGTTCTCGACCAAACTAAGCAAACCTGAATATGTCACTCGACTCTCCTCGGCTTCCGGTTCTTGACCAAACTGAGCACACTTGAGTGCGCCACTCAACTCCTCTAGACTTCCTTACACGAGGAAGTGACGCTTCCTCGGGTAGATGATGAAATGACGGATCCATTGTGAGCAGACGTGTTCAACAAAGATAGAAAAAAGACCGTCCAATGTGAGCAGACGTGTTCAATAAAGATAAAAAAAGAGCGACCATTGTGTACAATAAAGATAAAAAAACAAACGTGTTTGTTGAGATCTCCGCAAATTGGACTGTTATTTCTGCATGGCACCAAAGAAAGCAAGTGGAAGTCATGAAGCTGCTGAAAAAAAGAGCAAAAGAAAGCAAGTGGAAGTAGTAAAGCTGGTGAAAAAAGAGGAAAATACTGCGCAAAAGTATTGAATTTAATTTGAATTCAAGAAAGATTTGATGGTGAAATATGAACCAGGTGTGCACGTGTCTGTGTTGGCTAAGGAGTTCGGCATGCCGAAATCAGCAGCATCCTAAAAAAGAAAGACCATCTTAAAGTCAATGATGTGGCTAAAGGATCTCGTGTGTTTAGGGTCGAAAACCGAGGTTTGACTCTAAATGGACATCAGTGTCTCCGAAAGCTTTTATTTTGAAACTGGCCCTTGCAACATGTGCACGTATGAAAGTATGAAAAATAGTGGCAGCTGGCTTGTCCACTCTAGACAGAAAACACAGCTTTCTGCTGTGAAAATGGTTAATAATGACAGGAAAAAAAAAGTAGTTCCCCGACCATGGAGTCATAAGGCCAAACAAAAAAGATAGTGTGTTTCCAGTAACCTGAAATTTGAGTGTAGGGTCGGTAGGTCGGACAAATTTTTTTTTTAATCTTTTTTTTTCCCCCATCAAAAATTTAAACAATACTGCTATTTTCTTTCACATTACGGTGCGAGCATGCGACTGGAACACAGAAAACGCGGTTTAAACTGTCGTCCGAGATCGCGGCCACCGCCATGTTTCAATGTTGTTGACAGACGACAGGGCAAATGACGCACGCGCTCAACGTGAATATCGCGAGAGTTTGCACCGATGTAAACCCTCTACACAAAAATGTAGAGGGTTGTTTGAAAAAAAAATGCCGACCGTAAAGTTTTTTTTCGACGTAGAAATTCTCGGTCGGTCGGGTTACCGGAAACACACTACTTTTTTTCTACGCCTAACGAGAAGTGACCAAACCTGCTCTGCGTGAGCCAAATCGACACTTTTTGAAAACAACGCCGCTCTCCTCTTTTGCCCCACAAAGTTGCTCCTCGTTCTCTGCTGTTCTTCTTGGGCGCATTTTCAAAGAAAATCACAACACTTTACGTCCACACTTGACCTATGCTTCGCGACGAAGAGGCTCGCAAACCAGGTTAAGTAAGCTAAACTCGGTCCAGTTGCTTGCGATAATTATGTTATTGTCTAATAAAGTAACTATGTTCGTTCTGCGTCAAGGCTAAAGTATATTTAGCTTTAATTCGACAAAGAAGGTGGGTTCGACTTCTTTATTTTGACTATTATGATTATTTTAAACTGAAGCGGTCGAGTAGTTTGGCATGCGGAGATACAGTTACAGCTAGCGAACAACAATGTACGGCAACACCATTCAGACAAACATCGGGGAAACGGAATAATTGCCTCGTAAAGGGATTTACAATATACAATAACTTGAATTCAAAAAAACCATTTGAATGGTTGAAGTTTTTGTTTATTTTCAATATGATCGGTCCTCATTCCAGTTATTTTACCGTGCTGCGAAATACGAGGTAAAATAACATGTCGGCATCTATAGAGGTTATCTGATGTATACCCTCATTCTCCCCAATCAGTTTCGTTCTGCACTCTCAATTAGGAATAATGTGAATTTTGGTGGCATTTGATGGATTTAAACAAAAACTGACATATTTGTTTGTTTAAAAGAGACATAATTGATTATTTCCCTAATTACCGAGTTCATTGTTTTTCCATTTTGCTTCCAATATTTGGAGCCTCAAAAGCGGGGAAGAAAAATAATTCAACAGTGAAAAAGAATGCTTGGTGTGTCGAAAAATAATGACAGAGAGAGCACAGTAGTGACATCGAAGAAGTTTGATCATCAAATGATCAAACTTCACCCATACATTCTCCGAACCCACTGTCATGGCCTTCAATGCGGAAAGAAGAATGCACGCAGTCGCTGATATAATCCGTCGTTTTTAAAAAACAAAAGGAGCAACATGTAATCCGTCGTTTTTAAAAAACAAAAGGAGCAAGAACACACATAGGAGTTGCTGTTAGCCACAACTCACGCCCATGCGCTCCACACTCAGACGAACTGCCGGAGCCAATATATCCCCCAACCTGGCTCCTCCACTCTCTATGACGTCACAGAAATACAAGAAACAGATATTACACCACTTAGCAGCATTGGTGTAATTTTTGAACTTATCTTGGGTGCAAAGAATGAAGAAAATATGTCATGTTCCATTTTTAGTTAGATTCCAGGGGACTTTAAGTTTGGCAACACAAACCGGAAGTACCTAATCCAGTGACGTCCGCATGGTTTCGTGCTATCTGTTGTCCTCATTTCTTGTTTTCTTCTTGAGTATATGCCTTGGAAAGCATCGTCTGTGAGTTGAATCCTGTTTAGATTGCACTTACATGATGTCTACCAAACCGTTGCTTCAGTTCTAGTATTGGAAATATGCAATATTAGGAACGATTTTCTGTCCGTTTTTGCTATGCCACATTAGCGTTTGGGCTATCCATATTAGCCTATGGGCTGCTGCATGCTAGTTGCAGCTATTTTCAATGCTAAACATGCATATTATGGTGATCTCTGTTCTAGGCCTATATTGCGTTTTGACATTATTATTGTAAGATAATCCACTATTTTGTGAAGAGTGAACCACAAAGCACTATTTGTTAATTAATTTCGTAGTTATTTAGACGTGTGTATAGACACACATTTCATAAGCCTTGGTTATTGAGCTGTGCACACAGTCACAGAATCGTAGTTACATTAAGTAACTGGCGTTTATATGCAGTTATTTGCAAACGGCTGTACAATTAATGTATATTTGCTGCTGCATTTATTATGCAGTAAGCTAAGCTTATACAAGTTAACATCACAATGTAATGTGATGACACAGAAACATTCATTTTGAACAGTGTTTCATGAAACATCCTCCTTTTGTGTTTCTGTTTCTCTTTACAGTTTTACAACATAAGGAAAAAGAAAACTAAAGCTCCATCTCAACATCTTGGATTCTTGGTCTTTTTTCATTGTTCGCTGTCTGTCTATCTGTTCACGTCTCAGACACGGACAAGTAGGGCAGAATAAAATAAATACCACTGTGGTGATTTATTCCGATGTAGTTCACTCTCACATACCAGAATGTCTCGAAAACAACTTGCTGCCTTCAAACTGAACTTAAAAGTTGATTTTGCCTTTGCGTGATTTCATCGCAATTTAGCGTGTCGTCCAAGCAAATGAAAAAAGTGTTCTGTGCCGGGAATATTCTGCCGATTATATCAGGGAGGAGATTTTTTCCGCGTTTTGGCGAAATTCCGTTTTTTTCTAGTCAAAATGGACCTATTTCATATTGTTCCAAATCCGTAAAAAATTCTGGGTTGGTGTCCGGACTTGTCTTCGGCAGATTCGGGGCTCGTAATGTTTACAAGTAACGTTTGCAAGCATCCATTTTGAATCCCGCTTTTTATCGCAAAGCGTTAGTTTGTTGTTACTTCCTATATGGGCTAAAACCAATGTCTTACTTGCTGTGATTGGTCGCTATACAGTAAATATTCTCTAGTGCGGACTCGTGTTTGCGCTGTCCAATTTGTCCTGATAACAGAAATTTCTCATTTGGGAAATGAGCATGGTACATGTCCTTTATGAACCTGCAAGTATGTTGACAAAAATGCACGTGTAACAACACAATCAATAAAATACAAAAATATACTGTCCAAAAACATTATGTAACAAAAACTGCAATACAGGTGTATCCAAAAAAAATCACAACAGTAAAATATGTACAGTATTTTAATGTTTATTTTTTTTCTGTCTTGGGGAAAAAATGTCTATTTTGGATTGTTTGGTTGGATGCATTCTTTGGTTTATGACAATGTTTGCCTGCATGTCATACAGTTTTGTTGCTAGTTGCAAGTAACTGTCCCGTTGATCACCGATGTCTGGTAATTCTTGTGCATACTGACGGATTTTTGTTGCCATT